ATTTATTTATTTTTAAAAATTTTCACATCAACCGCTAGGCTAGTGTTGCTCGCCTAGTGACCAAATGTCATTGTTTCACAACTTGCTAGGCGACCTAAACTCGTTGGGCATCCTAAGCTCGCCTAACAAAATTTTGCATCTCTTTTTTTAAGAATAGAAGTTTTTTTTTTCTTTATTTATATTTGAATGATTTTATTTTTCTATTTCTCTTTTATTTTTGTATTAAAGAATTGTCAAATTTTTAATATGTGTCTACATTTACTTAATCTTAAACTTAAACTTATTCTAATCGTGACTTTTAATTCTATGTTAGATACTCTCCAGGATTGATTTTCTTGTCTCACAATTGTGCATATAATTGAGGTAACTATTGGGCATATAATTGAGATAACTATTGATTGAGAGAATATTTAGTGTGTTTGCATTAAATGAATCTTTGTTTATTGTGAGAGTATGCCATATTGTTTAATATTTGAGTATTGTGAACTTGTGTGTAAAGAGTTACAAGGGAAGCAAATTATTTCCATAAAATTACTTTTTACCTGATTCTTATTAATACAATCACCTAAATGGTTAAAAAAGATAAAGAAAATTGTTTTGAATAATGTGTTTAAAGCTTTCTGGCTAACTAACCAATATGTTAATCATATGTTGTTAACCTTTTTTAGCATAATTGTTCCATTCTTTTACCCTTAGCCTTTAGAGAGAGAAAATATCTTGTCCCACACCTTAACAAGGAGAACAAGTTAATGTTGAGTAAAATAAAAGTATGAGATCATTTGGTTGAATAAACTTAGGGTAGGGTATCATTACCCAACCCTAAGAAAAAATATATATGAAAAAAAAGAGAAAAAGACAACAAATCGCGACAGGACAACGATAAAAAAAAGGGTTTTAAAAAGAGATTTTTGGAGTCGCCACCATAGTTTATTATGGAAAACTACGGAAAAACCATAAAATGATAAGACACAGTCCACGAAAACCAGATTCTGGGTTCGGGAGTCGGTTACGAGTAGGGAAGGTGTTAGCACCCTACAACGCCTGCCCTAAGGCAGTACCTTTAACTAAATGCACGAATATGATGTGGTTTTCAAAATGTTTAACTATCCCCTAAAATAAAATTCTAAATAAACAAAATATATTTTTGTTTTTTTTTTGGGGCCCGACAAGGGTTGACCTTGTTCCTACGTATTCTCATTCACAATGAGAAATCAGGGTTACGTAGTTCTTTTAGAAACTGTGTTGGAAATTTTGTTTAGGAAATTGTTTGAGAATTTTGTTTGGAAATGATTTTGGATTTTTGGGAAGTGAACCTGACAAGGACTAGCCTTGCTCCTACGTATCTCCACTCTTGATGAAGAATCAAGGATCACGTAGTTCTGGCCGAGAGATTGTTTGTTGTTTGAAAATGTGGATGTTTTTAGTTTTTGAATATTTTATATTTTTGGTATTTTTATAAAAGAAAGAGAAAAGGTGTTTAGCACAAGGACGATACGAGCGATCACACATGCGCTTAACCTTTAAAATATTTTTTTTGTATTTTTTATAAAAAGAAAGAGGAAAGGTTTTTAGCACAAGGACGATGCGAGCGATCACACATGTGCTTAACCTTTAAAATATTTTTTGGTATTTTTTTATAAAAGAAAGAGAAAAGGTGTTTAACACAAGGACGATGCGAGCGATCACACACGTGCTTAACCTTTAAAATATTTTTTTTGTATTTTTTTATAAAAAGAAAGAGGAAATGTTTTTAGCACAAGGACGATGCGAGCGATCACACATGTGCTTAACCTTTAAAATATGTTTTGGTATTTTTTTTATAAAGGAAAGAGAAAAGATTTTCAATTATTCTTAGGCTTGGCCCAGCACTGGCCCGCGGTGTAGGGGGTGCGCGGGTGAAGACAGGGGGTTACGCAAAGGGGGCTGGGTCAGCAACAGGCCCAAGGCCTTTTCATTCTTCAGTAGCTCAGGGAACCCTTAGGGGTTCCCCCATTCTCTGCGCCAACCACTCAAATGAGACCCAAGGTCTCTTTCTCTCTGCACAAGAAAACCAGAGGTGCCCACCTCCGACCACGTCCCAGCCGCCACCCAAACAACCACCGCGGGAGGACCCTCTACCCGGTCCGAAGCTTCGCTGGCGACGCCAAGTGACACTCGGACTGCCGCTAACCATAGCCTCAGATCTCTTTTTCACCCTTCATCGCGCGTGAGAAGAGAACGCACTCGCCTTCCGCCAGACCGGCCACCGCGAGTCGTCGTCAAGCCGTCGCCAGCTCAACCGTGCCACTGCTTCATCAAATCCAGCCACCACGCTACTAAACCAGCCACCGCGTCCCAGCCTCCATCCAGCTGGCAGCCGCGAGCCACCGGGGCTGCTGCGATGAGCTCTCCTACTTCTCTTTCAAGGGTTCCTTCGTCTCCAGCATCACCACCGGACCGACGCATTCTTCCCTCTTTTCTTCTCATTGTTTTATCGTTTATTGATTGGTTTAATGTTGATTGATTTGTGTTCCGTATCTCATCTATTGGGATTGGAAACGATGAGTGTGTTGTGTGCATATGAGCGTGAGGGGGATAGTTGATTGTTTGATAATGGTGTATGGGTTGGCGAGATGGGGAATGTTGTTGGTTGGAGGGTGAACAGAGGCATTAAAGAATGTTGAAATTAGGAGAACTCGTGATGCTCAAGTGTTTTGAAGCGGATTGACACCAAAGGGATTTTCAGAGCTCCAATGTGTAGGGGTTCTTAGGGAAAGGTGATGAAGATTTTCGGTAAGAATGTAGAATGGAGAAAGGGTAAGACTCTTACTACGATACATACTCAAGCAAGGCAACTTCAAGCATAAAAATGAAACATAATGCAGCAAACTTACATGACTATGTCCACACGAGTGAGTAAGGTGTGCTTACCTCTTGTAGCTCTGCTTGCCTTTGTCCGCTTCGTCTCCGATGATCTCTCCCCTTGTGACTGGCGTCTTTCTTTTTTTCTTGGTGAATCGTGGAAGCTCTCACCAGGAATCGATGATGATTTTCCTGAAGGCTCTCCAGTCTTTTCTTTCGGTCCCCCCTCTCTCCCTCAAAATTCCCTTCTTCTACCTTTTTCGAGATTCCTCGTAACCGTTTTCCTCTCCCAATCCAAATCGCGTCTGTGCCCACTAACTCTCCCTATGCGTCGTCCTTTCTCCCGACAAAAGTTTTTTTTTTGTTTTTACTAAAGACAAAATAGAACATTCCAAATCTCTTTATTTTATTTATTTATTTATTTATTTTTTATAGTAATTATATTAGAACAAAACTTAACAATAAAAATAAGAAGTAAAAATAAAGTTTAAAAGTGGAAATTATGAAAGGAAAAGTAAAATAAAATAAAAATGGAATACTAAAAAAGGAAATAAGAATAAGAAAAAGAAAAGAAATGAAAAATAAAAATATAAATCAAACTGAGTAAATAATAAAACATAAGACAATAGAATACGATAAAGCCAAAAACCAATCCGGACGAAATTTGGTATTGACATCATGTTATAAGAAAGATATGAAAATTTTTGGGAAAATTATTTTGTAGAGAATATCAGGTTACCATCAATTATTTACATTTGGTTGTTCACTTAGTCTTAATGGTGCTTTTGAATTCTTGAAAAATCATATTTCTTCTAGTGAAACCTCATTACAACCTATGAAAGACATTTTGATCTACCCCTTGTATGAATTGTGTAAATTAGATGATATGCAAAAGTTGATGAAGTGGTTTTGTAATATGTTGATTATGAGTGATCATTAATAAACACTTGTTAAAACGGAATACTCATTCTTTGTGAGCTATTTTTTTAATTCAATAGTATGATTATTATATCTTATATTGTTTTTAGGATTGAAGTGAATAAATAGAGTCGTGTCATTTTATCTTGAGTTTTGAAGATACAAGTAAAATTATCTTCTGTTGCATAATTAAGATTAATTGAAAAAGTCATTTGCTTATGTATTAGTACGACAAGTTTACATGAGTCTTTAGTTTTATCTTTCATAAAATATGAAAAAGTTTAAAGTTTCGAGTATTTTGATAATTGATATTATCATATTTTTTATGTTTATTTTTATCTTTTATTTGTATTTTTGTTATTATCTTTTTAAATAATTAAGGATTTATCAAATAATTTTAGAAAAGATAAATATTTTATTTTATTTGGATAATTAAGGTTTTATTTAATAATTTGAAAAATATAAATATTTGCTTTATAATTTTGCAAATAAATAAAAATCATTGAATATTAAAAAATATATTAACAAAATTAGTTATTTATTATTTCAAGAATAAAATCAAGTACAAATTTCAAACTTAGTCTATGAAAGTTATCAAAGAAAAGACTACACATAGTTAAAAAAAACCCTTTTTGAAAAATAAATCTTCCTTTTCGAGGAGAGAAAACTTGATCTAGAAAAAGATAAAGATAAAGTATACACTAATTCCACAGGTTGAAGATGTAATGAATCTTAATTCTTTATGATTTTTTATTCAATATATATATTTTTATCATTATTTTCGTGTTCTATTATGGACCTCAGAATCTAAATTAAGATGAAGTGATTCTGCGTCTTTAACATAAATGCAGACAATTAATATAAAAAAATTTAAGATATTAAAATTTTTATTAATAGGTTTAGATTTGCCTTTAAAATATTAAAACTTGTTAAACAATGACATGAATTCTAGAATAAAAATCAGGAATATATTGTTTGGTTTTTTCACATTAAATCGAAACATGAAAGAAATCTAACCTTGATGAAGTTCCTGTTCCATTTGTTAATTTCATCATTTAATTGTTTTTTATAATTTATAACTTATCTTACTAAAAAAATATTCCTTTTATTATTTTAAATTGTTTAACCTAAATCAGTAAATAATTAATTTTACTAAACAACTTTAATTTATATGAAAAACGATACATGAACTTTATTGGTATAATTGATATTATTGTGATAGACCTAACCAAAGAGAAAATGTAAATGATAACATTCATACAACAACAGAACATTATGAAATTAACCTCACACAAACACATTTCAAATCTCACATATCAGTGTTCTGTTTTCTGAGGATGTCCCAGGAAGGTAGCATCAGCGTTCTCATCACTGCAATAGAGGCAAGGATGCTGATTAAACCCCTGACCTTGCAGCACCTTCCTCGCCCTCACCACCACCTCTCTGTTGCTCAACCCACCCTCCTTCTCCCTCACCACCATCTCCACCGCGTTGCTGAATGCCCCGTAGGCTTTCCCGGCGACGCCAGGGTTCATGTCCGCCGACGTCTCGTCCGCCTGGCACCCGCTCAGCAGGATCCCCTCGTCGGGTCCTAGCGCCTCCAACAGAGCATGCGACGCCGTTTGGAACCTCAAACTTGCGTTGGAGCCGAAGAGTTCTAGCATATGGGTGCCGATGTCCGTGGCGGTGGCTTTTGTTAGGGAAGATAGGTGTTGCTGTATGAAATCATAAGGGATTGTCTTGTGGGTAAGGGTGTAACTGGTTTTCGATGTGGAACCATTCTGAACCGATGAAGATGGACCTATTTGCTCTTTCTCTTTGTCGATGAGTCCTCCACTGTGGCACGAGTCTGAGAGGATTGTCAAGCTTGCACCCTTTGCTAGCCTGTTTACTAGTTGCCGGAAGTCCAAATCTGAAAAATGAGTAATGATTTTTTCATAGCTTATTTTTCACACAACTACTTTACCTGAGCATGGTTAAGGTGTTGGAGTTATTGTGCAAATTTAAAGATGAATGATGTGATGTGAAGTGAAGTGAGAAGTGAATATTTCAAGGTAACTATACAAACCAGTGATGAGATTGAAGTCACAAGGCACAATAGCCTCCTCATGGTGGACGGTGTGGCCATGTTTCTTGGAAGGGATTCTGGTTCCATGTCCACTGTAATGAAAATATAGCACATCCCCTTCTTTAGCTCCATCAACCATCTTAGCCAGTGCCTGCTTGATGTTAGCACCGGTGGGCAATTTACAAGAGTTTGGTGCATCAGTGAGCACCTCAATGTTACTGTCATCAAACCCAAATCGCTTCACCAGAGTCTCCTTTATGGCCAACACATCGTTTATGCAACCATGCAGCTCATTTGCGGTGTTGGGGTAGTTGCAACCCACCAAAACTGCCACCCTCTTCTTCTGCGCCTCCATTTTTTGGTTTCACTTCAAAGATGTGAAGACAGTGAATAAAACAAAGTTTGTCAGAAAGATTGGTTTCTGTGTGTGATTATTGCTCGTTTAGTTTCCTCCATTTATATAGTTCTCCGGGGAGCATTGCATTTGGCTACCCCTTTGGATTTGCCACAAGCAACATTATGAGACGCTTGTGTTGGCTTACAAGCCAGGGAACTTCTGTTTTGGACAAAAACATGCTGTGTGTGAAGAACTTCGCTCAACTAACAATTGCAACTTTGGAATGTTATTTGGGAAACAATAATTAGAGTAATTTATGTTGCAGCGGGAAAAGTTGTTAGCTGCAGGAATCACTAATTTATATAACAAGTTCAATTTAAAGATGCCAATTGGTGAATCTGAAGTTGTTACCTCTTTGAGTACTTGGATAAGGAAATTTCCAAAGCAGTTTAAAAGGGATTTTTCTTAAAGACTATGAAAAGGGTGAATGAATAGTGACATGAATTTGGTGAAATCACCTTCTTTTTTGCCCTTTCTGGTTAGTTTTTAAGTAACAAGAAAGAAAGAACGTGTTTCCTATTTGACTTTGAAGTAACTTTTATTAAGCAGAGAAGAATATTTAACTTAGACTTTTGACTGTCTCTGGAATCTTGAAAGTTTGATCCAAGTCTAAGCAACAACAATACCAGTTAGTCCCTTCACGTATATGAATCGAATCTAACACTTGAAAATGATATCTCGTGTGATTGATCATCCAAAGACACGTATACAATCAGCTAAGGCCAGGTTCGTTTGCCTGTAACTTATTTGATCATTTTACAGCAGGTTGATAAGTGTAAGCAGATTCTCTACATAGAGTCTCTAATTATTGAGAACTTTCAAAATTTTCAAATTTTATTAGTTTGCACCAATCATTTATAGACGAAGGGATTCGTGCCTTTCGAGAATTTCAAAACAACTTATTATTATTATTATTATTATTATTATTTTTAATAAAAGATCTAATAGACGAACTTTTGTTATTTTTAGTTAAATCTCCGAACTAAAAAGTTAAGCTAAGCTATCACATGGCCATTCTCAGATTACCTGCAAGGTAAGCTAAGCTTTATAAACATATTTTTGTTTAAAATAAGTTAATTAATCTTATAATCGTTGTGTTCATCATATAGCCCTTGCGTGCAAGTAAACCTCATATAGTGTACACATTTCTCCCACGGGCACAAAAATGTGAGGTAGAAGGACAAAAAAGTTATGGACATGACACGAGTTTCCCATCCAAATTAAACATTCTAAGGTATCATTCTTTGTGGCTGAAACATTACAATACAGAATTAGTTTGATTTGGACGAAACAAATCCTATGTTTAAAATTCATTTGAAAGAGTTATTATTTTTTAATTCTTTTTTAAAACAAGTCCATGATTAGAATGTTTGGAACAAGCCCCTATTTACTGTGCCTAAGGTTATAACGTAACATTATTTCCCTTGGATCTATCTTTTTTCCTTGCAAAATCCTCACATTCATCATCAGCCGAACTTGCAACTAAGTTCTATATACATATAGACAAGTGATAGGTTAAAATTTCATCATGCTGGCTCAGATACATTTCAGATTCAGAATAAAAAAATGAAAATAAAAAATCTTCAAAGATCTTTCCAAACATTAAAGTCAGTACTTGAGGCACTATTGTTCATAACACTGTCTTGACAACCTATAAAGAAGATACTCCGAGTGGAATCAATGTTCACTAAAGCATGAGCTTTGTCAACCGGACTTGTAGCTACAGCAATTTCATCCCTCCCAATGGTCACTTCAGCATAACCATCATCTTGCTCACTGTTCTCCAACTGCATAATTCAACCATTTTGCAACTCATGATTCAGAGTCATGGTTAACAATATTTCATAACAAAAATCTTGTTTACTTATTATTTTAATCATTTAGTCATTTTCATTTTAAACAAAGTTTAATTTTGGTGTACTAGCAATTAAAGAAATTTACCATGTGCCACTTTCACACTCTGTTCTGCATTCATAAATCCCTCTTAATATAACTTTTATAAATTAGATAATAATATACAAATTATAATCACTGTATTTTATTAAATTTTTAAAAAATTATTTTCCATATTTAATTACTTATTTAGTTCCTGTACTTACATATAGATTTTAATATTTTTAGTCTTTATACATGCTGATTTAATGGTGTTTGTACTCACTTTCTATTTTTTTTTAAAAAGTGCTTTTTAATAAAATAAGCAGACATCTGTTAATGTTTGGTATAATCTACTTATTTTAAAAATAAGCACTTTACAAATTATTTCAATAAGCAAATTATGGATAAATTTCCTTGTTTTTTTTTTCCTTAATGAGATAAATAAATTTCAACTTTTTTTCTATATTTATGTTAAAAATAAGAAATTTTCTGTGCATTTTTTTTTTTGTAAATAGAAAAGCAAAGTCTATCTTCTTCTTAAATAAGTAATTCTTTTAAAAATCACTTCACAAACATTTACTTTAAGTTCAATATTTTTAGTTATTCTGAATTTAGAAAATAAAAGTTAAAACATGGTACATATAAGAGAAATTAAAATGGTGGAAATGATTTATTTTTAATTATAAGAATGAAAAGAAAATAAATAAGTTTCTTTTTTTAATTACAAGTGAGAATGTACAGTGAAAGTACATTGAGTGAAGGATGATGAAGATGACGAAGAAGATGAGTAAGTGCAGATTGTTACCCTAAACCTGGTTGCAGCGCCCCAAATGAGAAAAGTCTCGTTACAATGGTGGTGTCTGTGATTTCCTCTTCGCTTCCCAGGCCGAATTTCTCCCACGTGAAGCGACGAACACGTCACAGCTCCACCTGCACAACACAACAAAAAATAAATAAATCCTCAAAATATCTCTCCATGCCGAACGAACCAAGAACAACGAGAACACCACGAAAAGACGACGCATTGAAATTGCATGAAGAAAGGCACGATTGGAACCTGAAAGGCCGGAATCGAGTGCGAGAACGATAGGATCGAAGAGCCAGCCGCGGTTGTCCTTGGCGATGTGGGAAGCGTGGAACCTGACGAGGTTGACGAGCGCGTCGCGGTGGGAGGAGTGAGGGGGAGTGTGGTAGACGAGCTGGACCCGGAGTGAGATCCACGCGAGAAAGAGGAAGATGGCGAGAAGGATGGGGATGGAGTGCGGTCGCTGGAGGAACCACGTGATGACGGAGGGACGGATCTGTTGCGACGTCGTCGTTTGGGAGTTTATGAAACCCGTTCTTCTCTGGGTCGACATTGTGTAGCTGTTCGTTTATCTCTGTTTTGTTATCTCTGCTTTTCTCGTGGATCAAATTTTATAGTGTGCTGTATTTTGCATAAGGTATTTGGTCGAAAATCTTATCTGCTATACTATAGTGTAAGAAAACAAAATTATTTCTTTATAGGATTTAAAACATAATAACAAAAGACGATGTCTATTTTAAAACTAACATATAATAATTTCTGAAAAAATATGAAATATTTTTTCTTAGACAAAGTTTGTAATTTTTTTTATAAAATAATTATTATATTATGATATACTTGTAAAATTATCAATTAGCTTATTAGATATTTCACAGGAGTTTATTTTTTTGGGAAATGTGTAAAATCTTCTCTCTTAAAAGAATTAAAATTTTAAAATAAAATAATTTAATTTTTAAAGTAGAGAAAATACATGATATTTAAAGGAGAAGGGAGTTGGGGGAAGTGGGGGCGCTGCTGTTATCACAAAGCGGAAACTGGAACAGTCGGATAAGAGGGTAAGGGCGGTGCAGTGCTTCCATTACACTATTCTAACCTCTTTCTTTTTCTCTTTATTTATCTATAACCTATTCTCTTCTCTTTACTCTTTCATTTCATCACTCTCTTTGTTCCCTATTTCTTCACCGCAAATTACATTCTCACAGTGTTCGCCGCAAGGTTTATTATCTCCCACGAATTATTATTTTCCCTTTTCGTGCCTGTATTCTAGAGACTGTTGTTGTGATTTCGAGTTACATTTCTAATTGAGCTGAATCTTTGGTTGATGATATATGTTGTTTTAGCCGGTTAGGTTTTCCTTGTGTTGTGGAATATGGACCAAAACGGAATTTTTTTCGAGTTTTGATTTTATTTTTCTGTTTTCCGACTTTGTTTTCGTAGAATATTTTCGATGGCGTCCCAAATTATCCGTGAGTGGTCTGGCATCAATACATTCGCCCCTGCTACCCAGACTAAGTTGCTTGAACTCTTGGGAAAACTTAAACAAGAGGTTTTGTTTTTATTTACCATATCTAATTATACCTATGTTTCGTGTTTATTGTTTTTGTTTTACTGTTGTATACACATTTGTTTGTTTATTTTCTGCCTGCGAATTTCATGTTTGTTATGGTGTAGAATGTGAACTCCTTGACTATACTTGTGATGGGAAAAGGTGGTGTTGGAAAATCTTCAACTGTCAACTCCATCATTGGGGAAAGAGTGGTTTCGATCAGTCCTTTCCAGGTATGAGATGATACTTTCAAGTGAAGGTCTAAGGGTGGTTATTGTGCTGTTGTCCGATTTTTTGTTTATTGATGTTGTTCTTTTGTGGCGAAGTCGGAAGGGCCACGACCTGTGATGGTGTCACGATCAAGGGCTGGTTTTACATTGAACATTATCGACACTCCTGGTCTCATTGAAGGGGGCTACATCAATGATATGGCACTTGATATAATAAAGCGGTATGTGCTTAATTGCTTGTATTTATCATGTGATGCTTTACCTGTAAGCATGTATATGGTCTTAGATATGTTTTTTAACTGTGTCTGCTCTTTTTCTTTTTGTTTTTTGGGAATCTCTGTGTGTGTGTGAGTAGTTTTCTTCTGAACAAGACCATAGATGTGTTGCTTTATGTGGATCGCTTGGATGTGTATCGAGTGGACAACTTGGATAAATTAGTTGCCAAAGCTATAACAGATAGTTTTGGCAAAGGAATATGGAACAAGGCTATAGTAGCACTCACGCATGCCCAGTTCTCTCCACCAGATGGATTGCCTTATGATGACTTCTTCTCACAAAGATCTGAGGCTCTCTTGAAGGTTCTTAGGTCAGGTGCCAGGATAAAGAAAGAAGCCTTTCAGGTATTTATTCCTGTAAATTGAATCTTATACTTCAAATGCATCTAAGTTTGTCAAAATTGTAAGTAAGCATTAAAAGTCAAAGCATTTTTTGTTTTAGTGCCCTGTTCCTTGAATCGGCATGTAGTCATAAACCCCAAATGGTGGGGGCAGTGCTGCCAACCCGAAAACTGACATAGTGGGATCTCAGACAGCAGGATCGCTGCAATTTTCAAGATGGTAGTTAAGAGCTAAATAATTTAAATTTCAAATATTAATATTACATGAAATGAAAGATATATCCATAATTAGTAATCATAACTCACGTTATAAAGCTAAAAACAGAAGTCAATAACCTTAAAAGTCTATAAATCAAATTAAGCCTTCAAGTGGGTTTTGGCTTAACTGCGTCCCAGGTAACCATTGAAGTAAAAGACTCTGAAAAGGGCATACCTTAAGACTTTTTGTGAGAATTGAAAGAAGTCGAGGATGTTTAAACTATCAACGACTTCTTCTCACAATACAGTTCTAAATACCTCTGAAACTATATTAAATCTGATATGCCTTTTTAAGCTTTAAGAATTGACCACGAAAGTGACAATTCTATGAATTGAACCAGGACGGTAAAAGGTGATGGACTACTACTACCTGGGCTATATGAGAGTATCTATTTCTCAGTTTATATTTTTCTTATTTCATATGTAGTCCACATTATATAATTAGCATATTAACTATAATATGTTTTTACTTGTGTCATTATGTTTATTATATTTAATGTTAACTAAATTTATTATGTTCATTATCAATTGTGTTTAAAATATAATATATTCTGTATACAATATTTACTTGTATAATTTATTTGTGGGACATGAATGAATAGAGATGCCAGACCGCTATTCTAGACTCCATAGGAAAGAGCTTGTTTGGCCGGTGTCTCAGTCATGGATATCGGTCAGTTCCAAAATTTTTGGTCATCGCTTCCACTACTGTTGACTGAGGAAAATTCCTACATTGCACATAATATGTGGGACGAGTGGTCAGTTTTTTCTTTCTATATACATTCTAATCTTTATTTCAGAGAAAGGGAGAGACCTACTCTGTTTTTGTTGTGAAAAGTTGAGAGTGAACATGAAACCAAACAGCATCACCGCAAAGAGCACCTTCATTTCCAGCAAACCTGAAGCAGCTATGATTTCAGTTTTGGTTGCTTCTAATTGTACTTTTTTCTGCCTACGTCTTCTGTTCTCTGTCCAACGGACAGACACTGGTATTTCATTTTACTGTTCCGTTTTTTCTTGTTTATTCCCCTTGTCATCCAAGTTCTCATGAGTTTTGACCTCATTACTATTCTTTATGAATAGTGTTCTAAAACTGTCCAGCCATTGTCACCTGTCCTCTGGACAGAGCTTCAGGGCTCACTTTTTATTCCACTTCACTCTCTTGTTTATTCTCTTTGCCTTTGTTTTTTCGAAAGACTCTGCAATGCTGGGGATGCGCTCTAGCTTGTAATCCTTGATTTGTGTGTCTACTCTCTTTTACCCTCTTTCCCAATTTGGTTTTTCAAAAAAGTTGTGCAATGCAGGGGATGCCATCCAGTTTCTTTATCGCTTGATCTGTCATCAACTCATGTTAGTATTAGCTTAATATTATAAACTTTTGTAATTAATGTTAAATTATTTTAGGTATTTTTAGCATTTATCTATGTTTAACAAGGTAATCAAACTCGAGAATTTACTTAAGTTACGTAAACTTGACCCTAAGAGTTTACTTCACATGGAAAACAAAATTATTAGGATACAGTTGGATTGCTTTGAATTTAATTTGATTTATTTCCAGACATACTTTAAATTAATCTCTAATATAAATTTTCAAGTACAAAACTAAAAAACATATTACATAATTATTAAATAATTTCTAATCCTAATTGAAAAGTAAAATTAAAAACCTAATTCCTAATTATAAAAATCAATTAAGAATTAATTCATAGCTAATATAATATATTAGCTCTTGTTTCTTCTATCCTAAAACTAGCATACCACCATATACCACCCTTTCCTCCCACATTATCCCTGCTTTCAAAATAAAGAATAGGATCGTGAGTTGCAATGTCAATGGTGAATGACGGCAAGCGAGGTAATGACGAGCAACAATGGCAACCATGATGTTGAGAGCGAGAGCGATGGCGATGGCGAGAGATGGTGAAATGACAGGAGTGCGAAAGAGGGGCTTGTAGTGTGCGATAGAGCAAGTTCAGAAGAAGGAAGAAGGGGCTTAATCTGGAACCCTAATCTGATGAGTTTTTTTCAAAAACACCCTCCATACAAAGTCGTTTTGGATTTAAAATTTTTTCTTGTCAAACTTGTCAAATCGGTTACAAACTTGATTTTATTGATTTTGCTTGAGAAACGAGTTTACTCAGAAGCCATGAGTGGACACATATTTAACAAGTGAGTTTGATAACCATGATGTGCAATATACATTATTAACTTGTATTTCTAATATTCAAGTAGCGTTGTCCCATTGTGCCATATCGCCGCAGTAGTTATTTTTCTGACTTCTGGTTTGATACAATGAGCATAAATATCTGTTGGCAAGCTACCCCTTTTGTGTTAATTCATAATTTTATTAATCCCTGCTCGTATTCTGCTCTATTACATTCCCGGTTGACCTCTGTGTATAGTGTAGGTGCCCCTTTGGATTTTTCTTGAGTGTAAGGTGAGTTAAATTTGACATGCTATTTAGTTTATCCTGTCAAGGATATATCTGTTGAAGTTAAATATATGGAATTTCGAGGATACATCATTCTTTATGAAGCCAAGATAATTAATACAAGATAGGTATACAATATGTCATGGACTCAGTGATACAAGAAATTATTGAAAATATATAATACAATACATCCTAGATGTGCTAACACTTAACATTGTTGTAGAAAAAAATTACATCAATGAAACATTATTGTAAAATTAAATTATAGCGTGCATAATTTGTTTTTTGGTCAGCAAAGATGATGCTTAATTATTGAGGGTATTATTAGACAGAACTGAATCAATGGGCTAGAGACGTAAGCATACTAATTAAATAATTTTAAAGAAAGAAAAATGAATAATGCCCGTGGATAAAGCAACCTACCAGGATTCGTAGCTTATCCTTATTTTTGTTATGAGACAGTGCCCATTTTCAAGCTTCTATTTATTTTAAACTCAACAAGGTGTCATGCTGAATATTTATTTGATAGATATTCTAAGAATTGGGAGAGCATTGTTCTGATGTATAAATTAACTTTTTTGTTGGGTATAAACTTGTATGTATGTTTCTTTCTTACATAGAAAAAATTCCGGCTTTTCTTTGTTTTCTTCATTTTTTAATAATTTGAAATTCAAAAATTGTTATCTGATGCATTTTGAACATGCCTCTTCTCGTGCATGTGTTTATTATAGCTCATAATTTCCATGCTTATTATATATTGCTTTCTTTTTGGGTAAAATTTTAGGCTGCTTCTATGCCTGTTGTTTTAGTTGAGAACAGTGGGAGATGCAACAAAAATGACAGCGATGAAAAGGTTGGATATTTGATTCATTGCATTTATTATTTATATATTTTTCATTCATTTATCTTGCTTAGTCTGATTGAGATAACGTGTACTTCTTGGTGTTAGGTTCTTCCAAATGGGACTGCTTGGATTCCCCATCTAGTCCAAACAATCACAGAAATCGCATTGAACAAAAGTGTGTCTATTCATGTTGATAAGAATTTGATTGAAGGGCCAAATCCGAATCAGAGAGGGAAATTATGGATTCCACTCGTGTTTGCTCTTCAAGTAAGCACGTTATGAACTTTGAGAGGCTTATTTGTTTTCTCATTACACTGATGGGAGCATTGATTTCTTTCTCTTCTGTTTATTTTATTTATCCTCTCTTCAGTATTTCCTTGTCATGAAGCCAATAAAAGGACTGATCGAGAGGGACATTGAAAATGAGAGAAAGCCAGCATGGGAGAAACGCGATGCCGCATTCCGGAAGAGAGATTTTTATTAGCTGTGCACTTCTGTACCCATTAAGTTCCATTTATGTTTAGCTTCCTTTGCTTACAAATTTGTTTATTGTCCTTGTTTTATGAGTGAACTTGGATGGTTTTGGTTTACTGTAATTGCTAGTAGTTTGCGGCATAGGAATTTAATCAAGCTTTAGAGGATTTCCTGTATGCTGGGAATTTAATTTGCTTTTTGCATGATTCAGTTTGTTAGTAGTTAATGTCTTGTAAACATCTCTAAGATTTAACTACCATCGTTGATAGCGTGTGATATACTAAAACTGTAGCCTGAAGTATCAACTATTTTTTGTGTACAATGGTCGCATTGAAGCTTTAAAAACCTTGAACTTAATGCGCAGTACATAAACTCCTGGTCAGTAGAGGCCAACTTATACAGTTTAAGTATACCCTAGAAATCAGGTGTTTCTTCCTATTTTCTGGTATGTTTTTTTTCAGATATTGGAAAACTCAACAGGAATTGGTAGAAACAAATTTGTGGGTGCATAAAATGAGTGCCCTATGCGAAATGTGGGTAAGTAGTGCATGAAACATCAGGAATTCTTACTTGGGCTACTTTACAGCATAACCTTTTGTGGTTTTTCTAAGCTCCTTCAATATTTAGGGCTGGTTTGATTTTGACTGAGAGTTCAAATTGAAATTTACCCGTCAAATGGTCTGGTTTATAAAATTGAAGTTTCATGAAAAAAATATAAAGTTATAATTATTTTAAAATGTTGTCACCAATGTATAGAACTATTTTTATTATCTTTTAATATTGAACGTTTAGAAATTTATAGAAATTGGTTTCTGAGCAATGGTTGAAGGAGATTATTAAAAATTAACAACTCTGGTATGAAGACATGAATGAAATAAAGTAGTAAAAAGAAGGAAGGATATAAAACGAATACAATTGTAGAAAATAAAAGACATATATTAATATTATTAGTCGGCCAGGCCACATTTTCCTGCACCGATGGAAGGAATCTTAAGTATTGGGGAGTGCTAAACGGCGTTGATGTCAAAGAGAGACGACGACAAACAAATACACCCAAAAAGCAGTGACACGTGACAGGCGCGTGGGACCCGCCACCTTGGTTAACGACACCGTCCATTTAAAACGCCGCCGTCTGTTCAATTCAACGCTGGGATTCATAACTGGTCTCTCTCTTTCTCTCAAATCCAATCATTTCCTGAAAGACAAAACAAAAAAAATCACACTCACAACACAAACACCACCACCAATCCCCAATCTCTAACTTTTCCCGAGAAAATTTCCATTTTCTCTCTCAGATTCCCGCAAAATTTTACAACGCCTCTTTTGCCTCCGCCAATTCAATTCTTCGTCGTTTTCTCCAATTCTAATGCGTCGATTTCGGGCTGGAGAATGAGTTCTCCCAACTCTTATCTCATTATCAGTTTCCTTAGATCTCTCTTCAAACCCTCCACAATCTCCGCGTTCGACATCTCTCGTCCAATTTTAACTCTCGCTTAGGTAAATTAAATCTAATTAAATTTCCTTTATTATTAGATTTATAGTTTTCTAGTGTAGTCTCACGAAGTTTTACTGTCCATTAATTCACCTAAGTCTATTTTTTTTTCTTTTTCAATTTAGTTTAAGTGCTTTATTTGTGTTTTTATCAATGTGAAGTCCATGGATTATGTGTAAGTTATAGTCAAGGTTCTAAATAACGATCCAAGACCGTGATTTTGACCGCAACATCGAGGTTTTGGGGTGTTTTAGACTGGATAGCAATTTAAAATCTTAGTTCTAGTGCTTTGTGGAAGTACCAATATGATGGATAAAGTTTGGTGATTTGATTTTGTTTCTCTTGTAAGTTCAGCAGATTATGCCAATAGAGTGGGCCAAATTTGATGATTCTGTTTTGTTGGTTCTGCAAAACTCAGCAGCTCATTTTTTTCTGATTTTTTTTCCTTGTAAATTGTAGTCCGTAATATAACTATGTACCACGCAAAGAAGTTTTCATCGGCTAGTATGGTGCCCTATAAATCTCAAGGTGGTGCTGAACAAATTGCAAATGTTGAGGTTTTGGGTGGATCTGCTGGAAAAAATGCCACACCGGCGGGAGGAAGTGGGAAACAGCGTTTAAGGTGGACATCTGATCTTCATGACCGTTTTGTGGATGCCATTACACAACTTGGTGGACCAGATAGTGGGTATTTCTTTTCAATATTGAGATTGATGCACTTTATGTAGGGTTTTCCTTGGTAATTTATTATTCTCTTGCAAAAGCGTATAGGAAAGAGAATGCAATATGGGAATTGCTTGTCCGATTGTCAAGTATTTAGTATGTAATGTAACCTATTGAATGCTGTGATCAATTTATTCCAGTAACCGTTGAGATAATTTCTCTTTTGGTTACTTGCAGTCCAAGGTTATTCTAGTTGATAATAACATGCTTGGACTGCAGGAATTGAGTTCTATTTAATGTAGCCATTAAATGAGAGCTAATCTCTTTTTTATAAATGACTAGTGCCAATATTCTTTTTAATGACTAGTTTTATTTTTCTTCAACTCAGTTCACCTTTTTAATGTTTTCGAAACTTCTTGAGGGAAGAGACGATATTCTTTTTAAGAGAAAATGGTCAGATCTGATACACATTCTCTTGTGATAAAAAAAACCCAGCAATGGTGAGTCATGTTGGATTAATTCCTAGTGTCCCTTTCACTCTGTGGAATCAATTGTTTGACAACTAATCTTGTTATTTGAAACTTCTGGCTTCCACGTTGTGTGCATGCAACACTGGCTGGCAGAGTTACATTTTCCAGAACTTGAATTTTCATATTTTAGTGGCTGATTATTTTTATTTGATGTGGATCCATTCATGGAAAATACTACCCTTTTGCATCTCCTTTTTGAGTTGGCTTTTACTTCTTTAACTTAGATAATCTGTAAAAATATAGCTATATTCCTGTAAACTTTTTAAATTGATTTAATTATTCACGGCAGGGGCAACACCAAAAGGTGTCCTTAGAGTGATGGGTGTTCCTGGACTGACCATTTATCATGTTAAAAGCCATTTACAGGTATTATCATCTGGTTTAATAATTTAGGCTTGTGCACATAAAATGTCAACATTTATACTTAATTTAACATTGATCCTATTTATTCTTTGATGACATTATTTTATGTAGAAATATCGTCTTGCAAAGTATTTACCTGAATCACCAGCTGATGGTAAAGGTGCCTTGTTTTTTCTTGTCCTTGCTTCCCTAAAACAAATTAGTTAGAATCTGTTGGGCTTTAAAAAAATCGTTTTGAACTTTTTAGACTCTAAAGATGAGAAGAGGAATTCTGGAGACAGCTTTTCTGGCGCAGATTCTTCTCCGTGGGTATCCCAATTGTTTTCCTAAGATAATCTATAACTCGTTATTGTGCTTCCTCTTTTAATCTTTTATTAAAATCTTTACTGCCTCCAGGGGAATGCCAATCAATGATGCCTTAAGAATGCAGATGGAGGTTCAGAAACGTCTGCATGAGCAGCTTGAGGTTTATTACCTATCTTAAATATTTACTAATTGTTAAAAGAGAACCCTATTTAGCCTACAACACTCTGCTAAAAGACCAAAAAAGAAACAATGATAGTACATACTAATCTGTGAACAGGAAATAGTACAAAAATACTGGCTTAAGAATAGCATGGAATAATTTACTTCTTGTATGTCCCTGATGATAGCATACATACAGTTCATTTCTCTTATGTTTAGAGTTCATACAGCATTCGAAGATGTTTTTACAAGTATCTAATTTCGCCTATTGTATGGTTAAACTTGGATACACTACTTCAGCCATCCTTATATATGTCATTTCCTTTGATTTTTTGTTGATTGAATGAAATTGGAACATGTGACATGTATCTTGAAAAGAAATGACTGAATAAACATTCATGTGATTGATGAGTGATTGACCGAAATTTGACTTACTGTGGAAAACTTCAGATGTTACTTATCATTTGAGAGATGAGTCCGTTTTTACCTCAATGGTTAAGATTTAATTTTTAATTATATTTTCTTCATTCACCAAAACTTTTGGTACGATGCGTAAGTACATCAGGGATAAATAAAAGACACTGCTTGATTGTTATATTTTACATAATTCTTTGAAAAATGCCAATTATGTTTGTATATGTGAATCATGCATCATATGCTAGCTGAGTGGACTCATCACAAGTATCTATTAAATTATTCTTATATGAAGAAGAATTATGTAGCCTCAGGACTTGCGTACACCGATTTTAAGATAACTGCTGCTTGTTAATTTTCAGCACTGTGCTTCTATGAGTAAGCACTTCTGGATAATAAAGCCTTTTATATATATTCCAGGTTCAGAAGCAATTACAAATGAGAATTGAAGCACAGGGTAAATACTTACAAAAGATCATAGAGGAACAGCAGAAATTAGGTAATACCTTAACAACCTCCGAAACACTTCCTTTATCGCATGATAAGCAAACTCATCCGCACTCGGAGGCTTCTGGATCTAGTGATGCCCTTGCAAGCACTTTGTCCCCTCGTAAAAAACAGAGAATCGATGATGGTTCCAAGGATGGCTTCACTGCTTCCCATGTAAGGAAGACTGAACAAAAGAATGAGTGCAATGTTGGTCAGTTGGATCCAAATTTGTATGATGATGCTGGGTTTGGATTTGATTTGGAGACAAACAAAGATGAACATAAGGAGAGTGGACAGTAAGAACTAGGTTCCTTTTGTAGGTTCTGTCTTCATTGTAATGTGTAGTGTATTTTTCTGGTAGAAAATACAAATCATGCTTTGTATATATATATATATATATATATATATATATATATTTCCATGCAATCCATTTGTACATATTAATGTAGATATAGATGCATTCTTCTCCTGTTGTGAGAGTCATAAAGAATGCACTCTTACACCCAACAGAAATGCTGTGTGGGTCATGGATGATGACTGTTGGGTGCAGGATACTTGATGTTCAGGTTGCTATGGTCCAAGTCAGTATCAAATACCTGGAGATGACATTGTTTGATCCTTGTAACCGACCTAATCATGGGAGATGACACTTAGTTCTTATAGATGGAAATAGTTATGACAAGCTTCCCTTTATATTACTTATCTTCCAGGCCTTGGCACAGTTAGACTCGTGAATGTGATGCTAGCAAACCTATAAAATAATAAATTTGTTAAAGACAAAAGTAATGTGGCTAGAAGCTTTCATCTATAAACTAAATACCCTTGTTTGGTGCAAAACTTGTTCTTACTATTTGTACTAAAAGCCCCAGAAGAACAAATATAGAAGGATTTTATTTACTTTTATTCATATGTACTTACAGCAATTTTAGTATATAATTTGGAAGTTTACAAGATATTACTAATTAGCTATTAACTTAGTTCAAAGTCATGGTTATGTACTGAAGAAAAAAACTGTTCAATAAAACTGTTTATTCGTTAAAGTGGAAAGTAAAGGAGTTTTTGGAATGGGAGTCTAGTCTGTAGTGCTTTGAAAAATATTTCTTATCGAAAGTTTGTCACCATATTGAACCATTATAGCTTTATATCACGCAAGATTTTCTAGTTCTAAGTTTAATTATAACAGAAGAATGATTTTACTCTTTAGATGACTTAGAAGATAGTATTAAGAAATATGCACTATATATTTTAAACGTGCAAAGTCGTTATTGAGAATCTATAAGGCCTCACGCTGAAGGCAGGTCCATTAAGAACGATAAAATCTAGTTAGACCAGAAGTGTTTTAAATGGCTAATTAGTTAGAATTGTGTTCATTATAGGTGTTAATAATGGTTCACGAATCTATAAAACATCAAACATTTCAGATTAACAATTGCAATGAAACAGTGATTTGGCAACAACAGTACTCCAGTCCTATGAATTCAGAAGTGCCCTCTAAGTATCGACTTGTATTTACAATTCATATATGTAAAAAAGATCAATTTTAGGATTAAAAAAATTAGATTAAACATGTCTTTTGGCAACTTTCCCATTGGAGTGAATTTCATTACGCAGTTACAAGACACACGAATTAAGCTAAACATGCTCTAAACTAAAAAAAAGGAGTCAAAATAAGTCTCTAAAATATCAGATGAATACCTAAACTCAACTATTTTGTGCCACTTCAATTCTCAAACATACATTAAAGAATATCACTTAAATCACCCAACTTATTAATCTCAGACTAATTTATTTTTTGGTGAATACATGTGCTTTTATTCTTGGACTATAATATTAAAACATTGCACTTTTGGAGACAGAAATTTTCTTATTTTAAGGGACTCAAATGTTGTTTACTGCACCTTTTTGTTCTACTTTCAGTCAAATATACTTTACCAAAGTAATTTTTATTTAAAACAATCATATTATTCTTCTTTGGTATCACGTTCTCTCACCTCAAACTTCTTTTTTGGTGTAGTCACCTCAATATGATTAGAACCTCACGTCAATTTTCCAATCATGCTGTAGTTAGTAACCTCAAATCAAAAACCATTTTCTGTGCTAAGGTTGACATTTGCCTTGTACAGGTGAGAATGCACCGAGTTGCTAGCATTTATCCTCAAGAAATTAGTATATAAAACCAAAATGGTTAACTGGTTATAGGACATAAGAAAAAGATCAAAACAAAAGTGCAATATTATAGATGTTTCTATTTATGTTCTTCAATTAAAATTGGAATTTCCTCTCAGTAACATGCATCAACCTTTATATGAACTTCTGAAGCACAAGTTACATAAAAACTTCAAATTTAACCGAAGAACAACATCAAATCATCTATACTACAACATCTATATTTTGTCCTTAGAAGTGGTATTAAAGCTATATTGTGTTCAAAATTAGACTAAAGCATGCTTGTAGTGCAGAGTAAGTTGGAAAATGTACATATAGGAAAACACTCTTACAAGGGGACATGCTGAGGAGAATAAATAGCAGCACTTCCCAGAGAAAAATAGATTTCCAAATGTTGGAAACTTGAGTGCCAAACATATATGTCGCAAATGAGATCTATGGAAGTGCATGGAAGTTTGGTAGAAACTGGTTTGCAGTGAAGCCATCAAAGGGGAGCTGAACTAGTTCTGCGCAGTTGATGCTTAGGATCAGGTGGTGGTGCAGTTGGCAATACCTTCTCTATCTCCTGAAAGAAAGATCATAAAAAACAGTTACTATGAGAGAGATAAACCATCCAGAATCATCTCCAAAGCTCTTGCATAAAACTATTTTTGCGTGCTATTATTCAACAATGTAAATAGTTTAGAAAATTGAAGAAAAAGAAACACACAATTATGGTTGGTTAGTTGCAACCTCAAAATATGAGCTTACATTACACCATATTGTGGTTCAAAGATCATTATGGAAGGGTAATGCCATCTTACAGACACAGCTATGTCCTTCAAGTTTTACGATCGAAAGCTTGTCCAAGAAAGTTCTAAGATATATAACTGGTGTGGATAAATTATGCATGCTCATCTATTATTAAAATCTAACCACAGATATTTCCATTTGATTCCACAAAAAGACAACCACAGACAATTGGCTTAATCATGAACACATGATAGAACTGTTTTTCTATATTTTAAAAGAAGGGTCATTTTTACGATCTAAACATAGTCATTTTCATGCTCTTCATCAGAAATTCACATAGTTGAACATTCATTGTAAGACTTTTATAACTGGCAGGTTCCCTTTAGTTGGTAAAGTTACAATGAAGAGATGGATCCAAGACCAAATGTTACATTAAAACTGAAAACAAACTAAAAAGGATTTATGCCAACAGAGATATAATATCACAACAATATGCAATCATATGTAGGCTCACATTATAAATTCACCCTTTTGTGATCAGTACAAGGTTGGGTGATTCCAAATGGAAATACTTAAGGCTGCAGACATAGTTCTGAACTGACACATAATTAAATGCTTCAAAAATCAAATCATTCTACAATTGTACAATTCAAAACACTAACAGAAAGCAGAGATTCATGATCAAGATCATTACCACTCAACTTATTTCTCCCAATTTCAACAGAACTAGGTTTAGTTTTGTGCATTAATATTGATTCTTGTAGCCTTGACTTGAAATGTGTCAGCCAGACTAACTGCAAGCAAAATGGTTGGCCATATCTTGAAGCCATAAAGTACTCCAAACTTTAGCCAAAGTGAATCTATCTTTTTAACATTGAAATCTTCGTACCTCTCCACACTACTACAGGGAATACATCTCCAGATAAGGAAGGGAGAGAAGTCAAACACCTAATCTCAAGTTTGGAAACAATTTAAACGTTGGAAGTTAGATGTAACACAAATGTTTTATGAACTGTTTGTTAGGGAATTATATGTAATCAAGGGTTAGAAAAAACATCAGAAGTATTTACTCGTACACAATTTTTTTTTCTTTTTTATTTTGTCACTCAACAGTGAGCTCTAGAGAAGTCTGCTGAGCTACCTCCTTATGACCCTTCTCAGCACTTTTTTTTTCACCTGATATGATCACAAAATCTTAGAGCATCTGTCCTATGTCCAACTTTAAAGAACCCTGATCTGTTCTTTGTATAGGTGTTCAAAAGACGTGCTACAATCAAACGCTAAATATTTCACCTTATCTCTCACCACAAACTGATAAAGTCATCAACATAAAGACCTACACTTTCTGCGATTCTTTTACCCAAAAATTTCAAAAAGAATTCCTTGGAGCCATGGCAGACAGAGAGTTAACAGTATACACCCTCAAAAACATTAATCCGGAAAAAAAAAATTCCTTGCTAAAGAAAGGAGAAAATATTTTAGACCTAACAAATTCAGAAATCATCATTAAATCAGAACTTGTTTCCAAGAAAGAGATTATCACCATAAAATGAACATGTCCTGAAATCGCATGTCTTCTGGGGCCAAAACCCAGAAAAATTAGGCACACACAGACACAAAGGTTCAATTGTCAAATAAAGAAGATTCAGAATAATGCATGCATAAGGAAAGAAAGAACAGAACAAAGGAAAATAGAGAATATGACAAGACCAAAAGCAGATCACCAGCCTAAGGTCATGGCCTGCTTCACCTCAATAGTGTAATTAAAAAGAGAGGAAGATCATATCCAAGCAAAATCAAAATAATTAAAAAAATGTAATTGTAATCCTAAATAGACACAATGATAAACCAAATGTCAATTGTTAAATTGTAGTTGAAGTTCAATTGGTTTAAACACTCCACTTAATAGAAAACCATTGGCAAGGTAAACTAAATCGCCAACATTTCAACCATGCATTGTCCAACCATATGGCATTATCAATCTGACACCAAAAACTACCAGCAGACAAGAATAAAGCAACGACACAGACTAACAAAAGAATCTAAACTTACATTCTGTCTTCTAAGCCTTTCATTCTCTTCTTCTAAACGGGAAACTTTAATCTCCAGTTCTTGTGTGTAAGCCTGCCCATTCAAATATGCGCAGCTTGTATAAAAGAGAAAAGTAAAAAATAAGACTTGAAAGCAAAAACACATGAAAAAAAAAAACTAAAAACAAAAATAACCTGCTTTCTAGCCCGGGACCAAGCTGCTGATTCCCTATTTTTAATCATTCTCTTTTGCCTCCTCTCCACAGTTTTCTCAACCACATTACCTGAGGCAGCCCTTTTCCTACCTGCAGATTGTGAATCAGATAAGGCACCCATCAAAGAAGACGGCATTGCTTCAGAGTATCCTGCATCCAGAACCGGATTCACCACAACCGGCATAGGCTGTTGAACAGCCATAAAACCCGAAAAACCCGGCATCATAGTATTCTGCTGATTTTGATGTTGATGATGTTGTTGTTGTGGCTGCTCCTGCACTGAGGTGAGCTGGTATTGCAGCCAATGAGCATGTTGTGATGTGTTGTGTTGGGAATCAACCCCTGGCATGGCCATGGCACTATCGTCATTAGGGAAAGGGTCAGTAGTCACACCAGCCTTCACCAAGAAATCCTCCAGGGTCATCTCACCCAGTGTAGGCTGTCTTTCTCTTTCCTGACTAACACTCTTCTTCTGTTGCATATCTCTCCAAACCTCATCAATTGTTTTCTTGCTAAGATCCCCACACAATGTTAGACTCCCTTGAGGATTCAAAGATGATCCAGCATAAGCTACCTGACCTTGCTGCATGTATGCATCAGTTCCAGATTCTGCAGTCCACACACCCTTGAGCAGCTCATCAAGATTCATGCTTCCTAAGGGTTTCCCCAAATTTCCAAGCTGGTTGTGCACCTCATCAAGGGTGAGATTGTACAAAGACCCTTGCCTTGCCAAAGACCCATTCTTTGGCTCCTGGATTGCCCCACCTTGAGATCCCATTATCTTAACCCCAAAACCACCCTACAAGTCTACATGTATCGCTTCCAAATATAAATAAAACCCAAATTCACAATCCCCCCACAACTCAATTGCAACAGAGACACCTGAAAACCAAAAGAAAAGAGTCTATCCAGTGATTTCTCGCGACATCTAAATGAACGAACTTGGCACCAAATTAGAATCCGGAGAAACAAAAGACGAGGATATTGTCTTGAATTCTGAGATTTGGTGAAAACAAGAAACAAACACAAAGCAGGCAGTGTTAAATGGGGTGGGAGAAAACCGGACCCAGAATAGGAAAAAGGTGACCCAGATCAGATATGAAATAGAACTAGGAATCAAAGAAAATGATGATGCAGAAGAGACCCACAGCAGAGAAAAAAGCTAGAACTAAATATGCAGGTCATGATTTTTGTTACATCACCACCACTACTATGTCGTGTGTCCTAGAAGAAAAGGCCAAAATTGATCCTGCAGGACCCTGAGCGTAGAAAGAAGTGTTTTTTGTATGAAAAATGGGAGTGTTGTTGAATATTCTGAGAACAATGCTTATCTGAAGCAAAAGAATGATTAAGGTTTCCCTTCAAAGGGAAAAAGAAGAATTTAGAAATGAATAAAGAAATTTTGGAAAGTGGTGAAGGAATAGACTATTCTGACTTGCTAAGTTAAAACAAAATCTGAGGGTACTACACTTTCAGTCCTTCACCTACTTGCTGCTGCAGGATCCAATCTGAATCTTACAACAAGGTGGGCCTTTCAATTTTCCCTTGCCACTGGGAACAACAACCACGCCAAGCGAGGAACAATCACTGTTTATTTGGAAAAGATAATGTGTTATAACTAATGCACTGTAATTCAATAATTACTGTATAATCATATAACATTAACTTGTATCATAATATTCTAACATTCTCTACTTTTCTTCTCTTTCCCCTCTCACTCTCTAACTACTAAAAGTTTAATCATTTTTTCTCTTTCCACTTTCTAATCTCTCAAACTTTAATAAATTGACAGTTTTAGATTTTAACCCTTTCTTCGTCTCTTCCTCAAATATAAATATAAATGGGCTAAAATATAAATGCAAAGTTCGAAGATTTATTATGATATATTTCTTTCAGTTCTTTTTATCTTGCTCAAATTGGAATTTCATTTTAATGATTCTCAGTCTCGTTAAAAAATGTTTAAAGAGTTGCATCCAAATTTTAAGCTTTAATATATATGCACTCTGATTCTTCAATCCGACACTGCAGGGTATCTTCGCAACTGATAAATGTTAGCAAAGGTTACGTTTTTATTTTATTTTATTTTGTCTTTTCCGCTTTAATATTACCTCCATTCATTTTCACTTGGCTGTTGTGAAATGAAAATGATGAAGATTTTGTTACATATTTGAATTTACATGAAAAATTAATTAAGTTTTAAACTTTTAATAAATTTAAATATTTTTAATTAAATTATTATTGAAAAATTTTGTTATATTAAAATATAAATTTTTTATACTTTTAATTGAGTTTTTTATTTAATTTTTTCGTAATATAAGAATTATTTTATCCTGTTAATTTGTTTCTACACGTGTGTTTAATATAAAATAGAAATAACTTTTATTATTATAATTGGGAATTTATTAGATAATAAGAAATGTTTTATCAATGATAGAAGAGATAATTCTTTACTCAGTACAATTTTATTATCAAACACGTTATAAATAAAAATCATTCGTCATTTTAATAAATACAAAATTTTCATATTTAAATACTTAAAAAAAAAGTAGGACAAGATAACATTGGTGTAAAAGAAAAGTTAAACTGTATCTACTCAATTAGAAAATATAAAAGTTTTGAGCACTAAAAAAAAAGTAGAAACCGATTTTATCATAATCTCAGAACTTAATTAATCTTATAAAAGTTTATTTAAAAGCAACATTAATTACCTTTTAATTAATTAATTTCAAAGATGTTATGCTTTTGTTATGAGTAAATAGAGAAGCTTCATGTAAAAAAAAAAATTGACATAAATGAAAATTATAAAAACTGATATGTTTCTTCAAATAATTGACTGAACTGAGTGTAACATATGAGTTATAAATTTTGTTGTTCAATTGCAGTGTACAGTGTCTTAGAAATTTTTGGGTATAGAAATGTCAGCTTCAAGAAACATGACACTATTTATGTGAATGGAAGTATAACTAACTAACAGTCCTAATCTGAAATTTCAATGTTTGATTTGAACAGCAAGAATAGGGATTGGTGATTAGTTCCAAAGTTTGGTCTAAAAAATTAGAGAGAAAAATAAATAGTTTAAAAAAGTTATGAAAGTAAAATTAAAAAGATAAATAAGAGGGACCAACTCTTTCATTTCATGTCAATTTAGGGGATAAGTGTGTATATTATAGTACCAAAAAAATATTTCTCTTTCTTTTTACTTCTTTTTCTCAAACAAATAGTGAAAATTGATACTTCTTATCTTTTTCATTTTCTTATTACTTCAAGCATGCTCAATTTTAACCCTTGATGTGGCCATGCATTACTTAAAAAATTGCATATATTTAACTTTTAATCTTGAATGTTGAAATATAATTCAAAGATTTATTTTTACTATATTTTTTTAACTTATCCATAAATAATAAGAGTTTCATAACAGTTTTTCTTTCTCTTCTGAAAATAATAATACGGATTGGAGGATTCTAACTTTTAATAAATCTAAACTTTAGATGTGAAATTTTTTATCTTTTCTTTTAATTAAAAAAACTCATCTTATTCTCAAATATTTCATCCAAAATTAATTTATGTGAATTTAAGTTAGTGCTTCATTATCATGGTTATTTTATTACTTTTAAGAACTTGTGTATACTTTTCACAATTTCACACTATAAAATTATTAGTGCCGATAATCAAAATTTGTAGTCAAATATATTGATAACTTAAAACTTTGAATGAATTATTAATGGATATTATGTCGTTGGTAATTTTCTCCTCTCAGTCGAATCTCTTGGTAATAACCAAAACATATCCTCAATTGTTAAATTCAAATTAAAGACAAACATTTTGTCTTTGATAACGACTTTTAAACATGATTAAAAAATATTTTTTTGTAAATAATAAGGACGATGATATGTCGATAAGTTGAGAGAAACATTATTGATGAATTTTTTCGTTAATAACTAAATTGTATACCATCAGTGTAGAGATCTTTATTCTCTACACCTAAATAAACCCTACCAATACAATGAAAACAAATAATATTAAACTAACAAAAAGATAAATTATATATTATTAAACAACTAATATTATACAACGAGAACTCATGTACAAGGAAAATTTTTAATAATGAAAATTCTTAATAATAAAAATTCTTAACCATGAAAACTCCTAATAATGAAAATTTCTAACAATGAAAGCTAATATATCAATATCAAGCAAATTCTCATTACCAAGCATGAGCATAATAACAAGGAAAATTCACTAATAAAGTACAAAAATTGGAAAATACGAATTAAACACCACAATTGAAAGGCTTTAAAGCCAACCTTCCTATGTAACATGAGAACAACATAAAAAAGGAAGAATCATGAATTTTCTCATTTTTATTATGAACCACAACCATACATCTTCAACGAATCCTTTCAATGAATAAAGCGAAAGGAGATGAAGAAAACCTTACCTCCACGATAGATAAGGACAGACAAGCGATGTCACCTCCATAAATCAAATTCAATTGTTTTCCCTGCATGAACCTCAATTTGAATTGGGTTTTTGAAGGAAGATTGCTATCGTGTGTAAGATTTGGAAAAATACAAATATGAAAATACAAATTTTTGGACGAGAGTCAAGGTTAGAAATAGTAAATTTAAAGGATCCCTAATTTTTGGAAAAGGGAGAATGAACCCTAATCGAGGTTGAAATGGAGAAAGAAGATGCGTCGAGGTTCTATTATGCATTTATTATATATTTGAGAGTGTAATATCGTTTAAGTGAAGAAGTTTATTCGTTCAACAAGGTGTTACTACATATTGATGAGTTTATATGTGTATTCAACTATATTAATGATCACTACAAGAATGTGTAGAACTAGTTACAATAACATAGCATGGGCTATAAAAGGGACCATAGTAGCATCAACTAAAAAAGGACACTAGTAGCATAAGTTAAACAATTACAAAAGAAAAAAAGTTACACACAATCCAACCCAGTCTACACTAACAATGCAAAGTTAATAAAGCTTAGAAAAAAAAACAAATAAAAAGCGTTGACTATAGAGACATAAAACTAGACACATTTAATTTTTATATTAAAAAATTTCACTGGCTAACACTACAAATAATAAATTTTAAAAATAAAAAAGGTAATCGGTGTTGGTTTTTGGACACTATGTTAAAAATTGGAGTTAAATCTTAATAAGAAAGGTCAACACTAAAAAAATAACATAAAAATTAAAAGGCTTAATTACTCATATACTTCTTAATTTGGTGGGAGTGTATCAACTTGGTCCCTTCTTTTAATTTTGTGTCAATCACATCCACAAATTCATTAATGTGCATTGATCAAGTCCTTTTTTGTTAATACTGCTTAAATCGTTAATGTTGACTGCTTAGACATGGTTTAATGACAATTTATACTCACGTGCACATAAGAATTTAGTGATGTGGAAATTTGAGCTGATAAGAAAAATAAGAAACTAAAAATGAAAATAAGAGATTTCTGTATCTACGACAAGACAATGAGAAGACAATTTGTGGATTCCATTGACAGCAAAGTGAAAGTGAAAAACCAAGCTTCCATCGGCAATGAAGTGGATTGGATTGCCGATTGAAGGTGCATATGTCTTCAATATGTATCATTGTATGTGTCGATTTACAAATGGAACTACTTTGAGATTTTTTCAGTTCTTCTCTTCTTCTTCCATGTAAAAAAAAACATTATCCATTTCTTCCTCCATATGCACACCTTCACCTAGTTTCATCTTTACACACAACACTTCTCCCTCACACACAACACTCACTCTTTCGTCTTCTTCTTGTGCTCTCAATTGGACCAGTGATGGAAGCATTTGTTGTAGAAGCATCACCAAACAAAATTTGAGCTTAAAATAAAGACATTAGATGAATTCAACAAATAACATAACTTAAAGAAATAAATGACTAAAGGACTTAGCATTAGACGAAATGAAAATAAATGAACAAAAAATACAATGCATGAGATAATGTACAATAATAACATACTAGACGAATCTAACATTATATGATAATAAAATAAAGTAAAAGTATTAAACGATGAAAAACAAGCATTATACACTCATAATATAAAGATGTTAGACAATGTGAAATTGTAAAGCCTTAGATGATAAGAAGTGAAGAAGAGCATTAGATGAAATGAAATAGAAAAGTGAAAAACGAGTAAAAGAACAAAACATTAAATAAAATAAAATCCAAAGACAGAAGAATGAACAAAAATGTAAGATGTTGAATGTTGAACAAGTAAAATTGACAATAAACTAAACATAAAGTAAAAACACATAATAGAAGAAAATAGATCAAATGAGTAAATTGGAAACAAGAAACAAAAACAAAATAGAAACTAACTAAAATAACAACTGAAGCAATAATAGAAGATTAAGGAGAGTGATAAAGAAGTTAAAAATGTTTTAAACAAAGCATAAGCTCTTCCATGAATCCTTTAGCAAAACAAAAGCAGAGCAAATGTATTAATTGAAATGAATTTAGCATAGAAGTTAAACAACTTCAGA